CTCACTGCAAGCTCCGCCTCCCAGGTTCACGCCATTCTCCTGCCTCAGCCTCCCGAGTAGCTGGGACTACAGGCGCCTGCCACCACGCCTGGCTAATTTTTTGTATTTTTAGTAGAGATGGGGTTTCACCATATTAGCCAGGATGGTCTCGATCGCCTGACCTTGTGAACCACCCGCCTTGGCCTCCCAAAGTGCTGGGATTATAGGCTTAAGCCACCGCGCCCAGCCTGAATGATTTTTTTCTGCTTATTCTCTGTTGTAGTGCCTGTTGTCTTTTTTTTTTTTTGAGACGAAGTCTCACTCTATTGCCCAGGCTGGAGTACAGTGGCACAATCTCAGCTCACTACAAACCTCCATCTCCCAAGTTCAAACAGTTCTCCTGCCTCCGCCTCCAGAGCAGCTAGGATTAGAGGCACATGCCACCACACCCAGCTAATTTTTTGTATTTTTAGTAGAGACGGGGGTTTTACCATTTTGGCCAGGCTGGTCTCGAACTCCTGACCTCAGGTGATCCACCTGCCTTGGCCTCCCAAAGTGCTGGGATTACGGCCCTTCTGTGCCCCACATTGCTTATGACATGCCCAGCATATAATCTGTATTACAATTTAGATTCATGAATCAGCCATATTTCTAAAAAAACACTATTTTCTATTTGGACTTTGAAAAAAAACAGGAAAAGTTTCTCATTAACTGTAAAACCATTGAGCTTGTCTTTGGACATATTAGAAAGATGGACATCCGTTAAAAATGTGATGGAGCTAAGGTCAGATATAGAAAAGTCCAGGAACTGCTATTGGAGATAGACTAAGTAGAAAAAAGCAAAAGAATCCTTGAGGGCAACTAGAACTTCGAGCCTTTCAGGAGTTTTACTCTAAAACAAAAAATAAGATGATATATTTAAAGTGCCATTGGCGAGGCGTGGTGGCTCATGCTGTAATCCCAGCATTTTGGGAGGCCAAGGTGGGCAGATCAACTGAGGTCAGGAGTTCAAGACCAACCTGGTCAAGATGGTGAAACACCATCTCTACTAAAAATGCAAAAACTTAGGTGGGCGTGGGCATGCGCCTGTAGTCCCAGCTACTCAGGAGGCTGGGACAGGAGAATCATTTGAACCCAGGAGGCTGAGGCTGCAGTGAGCCGAGATCGCGCCACTGCACTCCAGTCTGGGTGACAGAGCGAGACTCTGTCTCAAAACATAAAAGAATAGGCCGGGCGTGATGGCTCATGCCTGTAATCCCAGCACTTTGGAAGGCCGAGGCGGGCAGATCACAAAGTCAGGAGATCAAGACCATCCTGACTAATGCGGTGAAACCCTGTCTCTACTAAAAATACAAAAACAAAATTCGCCAGGTGTGGTGGCAGGCACCCTGTAGTCCCAGCTACTCAGGAGGCTGAGGCAGGAGAATGGCATGAACCAGGGAGGCGGAGCTTGCAGTGAGCGGAGATCATGCCACTGCGCTCCAGCCTGGGTGACAGAGCAAGACTCTGTCTCAAAAATATAAAAAATAAAAGAATAAAAAATAAAAAAATGAAGTGCCATTGATAAAAAGTAGCAGTTATCAGCCGGGCATGGTAGCTCATGCCTGTAATCCCAGCACTTTGGAAGGCCGAAGCAGGCAGATTGCTTGAACCTAGGAGTTCGAGACCAGCCTGGGCAACATGGCAAAACCCTGTCTCTACAAAAAATGCAAAAATTTTCTGGGTGTGTTGGTGTATACCTGTAATCCCAGCTACTAGGGAGGCTGAGGTAGGGGATTGCTTGAGCCCAGGAGGTCAAGGCTGCAGTGAGCCATGAGTGTGTCACTGTACTGCAGCCTGGGCAACAGAAACACTGTCTCAAAAAAAAAAGATGTCAGTTATTGAATTAAAAAGTTACTTCGTATCAGTTCTACACAGACTAAGTTTATTTTTCTTGGACATTTAGATATCAGGCTTTTACTTTTGTGGGGTGAAAGTACCTTGAGTTCAATTTATAGAATCCTTAGAAAATATTTGGATAAGTCCTTTTCCTTTGATAAGATGCCTCTTTATTTCATGTACCTTCTGCAGTTCAAGGGTGATTTAACAGGAGTATGACGTTTTCTCATCTAGCCAAACTAATCACACTGATTCTTTTTTTTTTTTTTTTTTTTCCCATCACACTGCTTGTCATCAGGCCTGTGCCCTGCACAGCACTAGCAAGAGTTTGCTGGACTAGGGAAGAATTCATTCATGGGCTGATATTTTAAAACCTTCCCAAATTGATAGTTGTAGCTGCTTCAAGGAAGGGACTTGTGCAGTTCAGGGAAGGGGTGGGAAGGAAATTTTTCAGTATAGACTTTTGAACTTTGAACCACATGAATGGACTTTCTAATCAAAAATAACTTTTAAAAAGAAAGAAATCAAACTAAAACCAAAATAATCTCTCTCCAATATGAATGTATTCTGTTACATTTCTCTAGAGTAAGATTTTAGAAGCTAGTTAGTCCATTTTTAAAGTTCTATTACTTTAAAGAACCATAGCCCAGTGCGGTGGCTCACGCTTGTAATTCCAGCAACTTTGGGAAGCTGAGGCAGGCGGATCACCTGAGGCTGGGAGTTAGAGACCAGCCTGACCAACATGGAGAAACCCCATTTCTATTAAAAACACAAAATTAGCCGGGCATGGTGGCAGATGCCTGTAATCCCAGCTACTCAGGAGGCTAAGGCAGGAGAATCGCTTGAACCCAGGAGGCAGCGGTTGTGGTGAGACGAGATCACGCCATTGCACTCCAGCCTGGGCAACAAGAGCAAAACTCCATCTCAAAAAAAAAAAAAAGAGAACCACAGAAAAGGTCAAAGTGGTCTGAGTCTTCCTTAAAAATAATAGTATTTTTATCAAAATTAAAAGCAGTATTTTTCTGAGTTGAGTTTGCATCGCAAAAGGAATCTAATTAGTATAAATCTATTTTGTAAAAGTTTTATATAGTAGGTTCCCATAGCATAATTTTCGAAAGATGTAGCTTTACCAGAAAGCAATTTTTATTAGGTAAATTGGGCCATCTCTTGGCATGCATTGTAATTAGATAGCATTATTTATACTGTAGCTTGAAATACAAATTAATTGATGAAATGGTTTATTCAAGATAAAATACTTTATCTGCATATATAAAAAGATTACTCGTTGATATTGCTTGTTTTATCAGATTCATGCCAGAACTGAAAGCTAAATTACTGCAGGAGGCAAAAGTCAATTCATTAATAAAGCCAAAAGAGAGTTCTAAAGAAAATGAACTCAGGAAAGATGAAAGAAAAACAGTTTATACCAATACACTGCTAAGTAGTTCAGTTTTGGGAAAGGTAAGAACTTTGGCTTTTGTTTCAGCCAGTATAATTATAGTTAGACTCTAATGACAAAAATAACTGTTATGACTCGGATTTTGAATGTATATATTCCAGGAAATAGAAAAAGAGAAAAAGCCCAAGGAGATCAAAGTCAGAGTTATTAAAGTCAAAGGAGGAAGAGGAGATATCTCAGAACCAAAAAAGAAAGAGTATGAAGGTGGACTTTGTCAACAGGATGCAAATGAAAATGTTCATCCTATGTCTCCAGATACAAAACTTGTAACCACTGAACCGCCAAACCCTATCAATCCCAGCACTAACTGTAATGGCTTGAAAGAAAATCCACATTGCGGAGGTTCTATGACAATGCCACCCATCAATCTAACTAACAGTAATTTGATGGCTGCAAATCTCAATTCAAATCTCTTTCACCCCAGTGTGAGGTGAGCTGTAACAGAGAAGAAACCTTAAATAATACAATATTCCTGTATAATGGTATTTCGAAGAATCATGTTCATAGTGTCTGTATGTAAACTGAACTTGAAGAAAATATGTTGAAATTAAAGCTGTATAATGGGCCATTTACTGAGTGTTTCTTACAAATGCTGTAGAAGAAATTAACTTTTCTTGGCCATATAGATGTTTAAATTTTCACTAATGTCTTTTGGAGAAACCTCATTTAAAGAAAAAAAAAGACCCTTTGAAAAATGTTTTTATTTTTGAAGAAAAAAAACGTTGATATGCCCTAAGTTCTGGTATCAGTGTGCCTTGGTATAACAAAATAATCTTTCGTAAGTCAAATAGCCTTTCAAGGTGAAATAGTTTGGGAGAAAAATAGCATATTAGGCCAGTTTTAGATTTAACCTCTGATACAGACTGAGAGACTGGCCCATGAGTCTGGTTAATCAAGGGCAGTGTGATGGATGGTGAGAGTCTGTCCAACAAGGCAGTAGGGCCACTTCAAAATTTAGGGAGACTACTGTCATTCTAGGGGAGAAGGAGACTGGATTCATTAGCCCAAGAGGATTCTAGCAGACTGGTTTGGGCTACAGGTTTTGAAGCCCAGTGGTCTGCAGAGGTGAGCAAGTGGACATGTCCATATCAGTCCAAAGGTACAGCAGGCTACAGACTGCAAGAGCCCAGTTGTTCTTGAGGTGATCCCAAAATCATATACTGGTAACAATGGTTGTAAGCCAGTCAGTCTTGGACAGTAAGCTCATAAATTGAGAAAGCTGGTAGTGAAGAGATCCAAATTCAGAACAGATAGAAGGGAGCAAGTAGGCCAGCAGGAGTAACCCCACAACATGCCTGTCACCACTGATACTAACATGCACTAATTATTCTCTGCCCTGTTACCACCTCTCTCTTTAGGGTAATTGGTAGGTAAGGACTCTATTGCATTTTGGTACTCAGTGTTCAAAAAATAGACTTCCATGCCATAATTTATTCATTCTTGAAGCTAAAACAAAGCCATTTTGCCTGGGCATGGTGACTCGTGCCTGTAATCCCAGCAATTTGGGAGGTCAAGGCGGGTGTATCAGTTTAGCTCAGGAGTTCGAGACCAGCCTGGCCAACATGGCAAAACCCTGTCTCTACAAAAAATAGAAAAATTAGTTGGCCATGTTGGAACGCACCAGTAATCCCAGCTACTTGGGAGGCTGAGGCAAGAGAATCACTTGAACCCAGGAGACAGAGGTTGCAGTGAGCCAAGATCATGACACTGCACTCTAGCCTGGGTGACAGAGTGAGATTCTGCCCCCACCAAAAAAAGAAAAAAAGGCATTTCTGGGGAGTTCTAATAACTTCTTATTCATTTTTAAATAATAGGTTAACTGAAAGAGCAAAAAAGAGACGCACTTCTTCACAATCTATTGGACAAGTTATGCCTAATAGCAGGCAAGAGGATCCAGGTCCTATTCAAGTAAGGCAAGAAGCCACACATTAAAATATGGCCTCTTTTAACATTACTTCTGTTTTCTTTTTCTGTATCTTTAGGGCTCTAATACTTTTTTGTTTGTCTGTTTGTTTTGTTTTTTTGAGACAGAATCTCTCTCTGTTGCCCAGACTGGAGTGTAGTGGTACGATCTCAGCTCACTGCCGCCTCGACCTCCTGGGCTCAAGCAATCCTCCCACTTCATCCTCCCAAGTAGCTGAGACTTCAGGCACATGCCACCATGCCCAGCTAATTTTGTTCATTTTTTGTAGCAACTAAGTCTCACTATGTTGCCCAGGTTGGTCTCAAACTCCTGGGCTCAAGGGATCCTCCCTTCTCAGCCTCCTAAAGTACTAGGATTACAGTTGTGAGCCAATGCACCCAGCCTCTCACACTTTTAAAAATGTACTTTAAGTTTCTTTTTTTTTTCCTGAGATGAAAATAGGCCATTATTTTCTAAGTGCTTTCACAATTAATTAAGTTCATATATCTTAATTTATCACAGTTAATTAAGTTCATATATCTTAATTTATGTATTTAATATGTGACTTTAGGCAGAGTAAGTTAGGATTTCCACCTTTGAAAGTCAGAAGTAGTTTTGTTTTTTTTCACTTCCAAAAAATGTTTTTAATATCTTTATGGATTAAAAACAATCGCCAAATAAACACAATTTATTTTCACTAGAAAAAATAATCAATGTAGTTCATCCCCCTCCCAACTTTTGTTTTGTTTTGTTTTTGGCCTATTTTGCATTATTCATCTCTAATGGGACCTCACAACTTTTTACATAGGAAGGTGATTTATTCAAAATTGAAGCAAAATGTTAATTATAATAACAAAAAACTGAAAACAGTACAAACTTGTCCAAGAGCCGGTGACTAAGTACATTAGTGTACATTCATACAGTGAAATACTACACATTACATTGTGGAAGAGTGTTCATTGACCTAGACAGGATTTTATGATCTGTTTTCAAATGAACAAAAATCTGGTAACACAGAACGTTTCCCAGATGCTGGATGTGCAATTAATTTTTTTTCCTTTGGGTTTTCCCAGTGTTCACAAAGCATATCATTTTGTAGGTAGATAAGTAAGTTATTAAGAAAATGAACTGAAGCAATTTGCTCAAAGTCAGAGTGCAGTGAATAGTATTAAAAATGAAAAGTTAAGTTTATGGTTCTGGCCAGGCACAGTGGCTCTAACCTGTAATCCTAGCATTTTGGAAGACTGAGCTGGGAGGATTGCTTGAGCCCAGGAATTTGAGTTCAGCCTGGGCAACATAGTGAGACCCTGTCTCTATAAAAAATGAAATAAAATAAATTAGTTGTGTGTGGTGGCGTGTGGCTGTGGTTTCAGACTGGGTGGGCTGAGGTGGGACTATGGCTTGAGCCCAAGAGGTTGAGGCTGCAGCCATAACGGCACTGCTGTATTTCAGCCTGGGCAACAAAGCAAGACTCTATCTCAATGATAATAATAATAATAATAAGGCCAGGTGCAGTGGCTCATGCTTGTAATCCCGGCACTTTGGGAGCCCAAAGCAGAAGGATTGCTTGAGCACAGGAGTTTGAGATCAGCCTAGTTTGAGATCAGCCTAACAAGACCCCATCTCTACAAAAAATTTAAAAATTAATCAGGCGTGGTGGTGTATGCCTGTAGTCCCAGCTACTTGGGAGACTGAGGTGGGAAGATCACTTGAGCCCAGGGGGTTGATGCTGCAATGAGTCATGATCATGCCAATGCACTCCAGCTGGGTGACAGAGCAAGACCCTGTTTCAAAATAATAATATTATTATTATTGTTATTATTGTGGTTCTCATGATCAAGACTGTTATGCTCAGAATATTAAATATGCTAAAAATGTTTGCTTTATGAAACTTGTTGGAGTTTGTTTTTTTTGTTTTTTTTTTTTTTGAGACGGAGTCTCGCTCTGTCACCCAGGCTGGAGTGCAGTGGCCGGATCTCAGCTCACTGCAAGCTCCGCCTCCTGGGTTTACGCCATTCTCCTGCCTCAGCCTCCCGAGTAGCTGGGACTACAGGTGCCCGCCACCTCGCCCGGCTAGTTTTTTGTATTTTTTTTAGTAGAGACGGGGTTTCACCGTGTTAGCCAGGATGGTCTCGATCTCCTGACCTCGTGATCCGCCCGTCTCGGCCTCCCAAAGTGCTGGGATTACAGGCTTGAGCCACCGCGCCCGACCACTTGTTGGAGTTTGATCTGTTGATATGTTCAATAGTATTCTAAATCTTCTTAATTATTAAATTAATTGTTATGTCTATCTTATACCATCCAAATGGCTAGCAATTCTAGGATTGTCATTCTACAGATAGTTAGACACATTTCTTCGAACTAACTCTTGTTTGTTTGTTTAGAGCCAAATGGAGAAGGGTATATTTAATGAGCGAACAGGTCACAGTGACCAAATGTCTAATGAGAACAAAAGGAAGCTGAATTTTTCCAGATCTGACAGGAAAGAATTCCATTTTCCAGAATTGCCTGTCACAATACAGCCAAAAGATACGAAAGGAATGGAAGGTACACATTTGTTGTATAGCTTTACAATTATGATGATATCATTTATAAGATTTTTTCATAATATAACTTACATTTTAGTGTGATTTAGGTAGAAAACAGTGCATTGGTAAGGAAAACATTTCAGCTGATGAGATTTTCTCCCCATTGTCAAATAAGGGGTACGATTTTAAGGAGATAATTTTAAAGAGGCGTAAGCTTGTAATCCCAGCATTTTGGGAGGCCAGTGCAGGAGGATTGCTTGAGCCTAGGAGTTTGAGACCAGCCTGAGCAACATAGCAAAACTCTGTCTCTACAAAAAATAAACTAGCTTGGTGTGGTGGTGTGTGCCTGTAGTCCCAGCTACTTGGGAGGCTGAGTTAGGAGGACTGCTTGACCCAGGAGGTTGAGACTGCAGTGAGCTGTGGTCACGCCACTATACTCCACTCTAGGATGACACATAATGAGACCGTGTCTCTAAAAAAAAAAAAATTAATTAAAAAGAAAAAGAGAGGTTAAGACAGCTTTAAAGGGTAAATTTTTAATTTTTTTTATTTATTTACTTATTTTTATTATACTTTAAGTTCTAGGGTACATGTGCACAACATGCAGGTTTGTTACATATGTATACATGTGCCATGTTGGTATGCTGCACCCATTAACT